ATACCGGTTATTCTAATAAAAAATTGCTTGTCGGAACAGATATTTCGTATGCAGAAAACTTGTTTTTCAGCGTACAGTGATAAATAGATAAATGTGACCGATGATAAAATCATATTATAGGTTCCAGTATATATTTCAGTGATTTGTGAATATTTCACGATTGGTGAAATGGTTGACTGGTTGGTTGAAGTGGTATTGACATTGCGAAATCCTAACGGTTTGTAAAAGTACATATTACTTCCATTTAACCGTAGAATCGGGAACGCCTATGTATTCTTAATTGCAAATTAATATAGCTAAATTACATACATCTCATTAGTTCCTGATACTGCTTATAAATTTAAAATAAAGCATTCATGTCATATAATATGATACTCTCACTAAGTTTATGACTGCTGATAGCCACCTGCTGTTCATCTGATATGGGTTTGTTTATCAACTTATAATTTCTCATTTTTAATTTTCCACCACAAACTCATTACGTAATAGGAATTTTGTTTCACCACGATAGGAAAACTCTTGATTTCGAAGTAATGTTTTGTTAGTTAAAAATCTCAGTCCCTCAAATGAAGACTTTTTTAATTAGTGAATAAACATTTTCCTTTAAAATATTCAATTTTTATCTTCACAACCAACAAGTCTAACAAAACTTAAACAGTCACATAAGTTGTAGGAAAATTAAGAAAGATTGTCAAATTAATATGGCTAACGTTATCATTCATATGAAAATAAACCGTAGAAGCGGAATTTTCAAACTAAAAAAATAATAAATCTACATTTTAAAGATGTTTATCACATAAATTTTAATTTTTAAATTTAAAAAAATCTGACTTGTTTAACCAAAGTAGATTTATTGTTTACTTTAGTCTCACTCAAATATTTTTGACCATCACTTTGTCTAGGCGCGTATTTTGTGTACGTATACACATAAATTGTACCAACGTAAACACAGATAAAGAATGGTTTGTGGTCTATTAATGAAGATTTTTAAGAAATGTGCTTGTGAGCGCAAACGTGTTGACTGGTTGATAAGTACGGGTTTACTTGTGATGTTGTTTACTGTCAGGTGATTCGTAATCAATATGTAATGGGTTTTCAGCAAACAATGTAAATTTTATTTTATTGGTCGATAGCAACTTTGTGCTCTTCTTTTCTTATCTAGACTTAAACGCAAACATCCTCATCAAGTGATTGTGAGAAATGCTATTGCGAAAGTGTCTTACCTCTAAATTAACTCTGATTTAATGTTAAGTGGAGTATGTTATAGAAATAGAAAGAGGCTCTTAAATACCAGCAGCATTAATTCCTGAATTTCAAAACTTTCCATCCTCAGATAACAAGCTAATGTTACCCTAGTACTGGGTGAAAATGTGGAAATAAGTGTAAGCCAAAGGCAGAGTATCAAATATGTTAAAAGAAAACTGGATGATTAATTGTATAACTAGTAATAACGACATCGACATATCATCTATTGTCTTCAGATATCGGTCTTTCGTCTCAAGAATTAATGATAATAAACTATTTTTTTATAATAACGCGATTTGACTAAATTCGAAATTAACGTCACTTTACGCTGTCATGTTAAATGATTTATATATGCTTTTTAGATTGTGGGAAACTGCAACTTAGTCTAATGAAAATTAATCCAAGAAAACAGATGATAGTTATCGGATTTGTATTCTAATAAATCATGAAACTATTCGAAAATAATCATGAGTTCTATATTTTGATAAAAACTTTGAATATGAGAAATACTAATTCTGAGATAGTAACGCGCTAATTCTTTTACTTACAAAATTCTTTCGATAAATTAGACTAATTTGTCAATTGAAAATTTTATGGAAAAAAATTGAGTTGGTTTTTTTCGAAACCAGATGTTATTAAAATCCTAACTCCAGTATATGTAGTTAGCATGACCAACTAACCTTCAGATAGTTTTAAACATATTCTTGTTCATCTAGAAAAGAATACCATTTTGAAATATAGACGAGATAAAATGTTATTTTATGAAATAAATAACTTCTCATATTCGAGGAAGATATAAATACCCGATTGTAGAAACAAGTAAAATCTATTGTCCAACGAAGTAATTATTATTGAGACGCTGATCGATGTTATTATTGTTATTATTATCATTATTGTAGTTACGATAATCGGTTTCATGTAATGGTTTTGCGTTAATACATAACAACAATATTAACGTGAATAGTGGTGGTGATTGTGATGGTGGTGGCTTTTGTGTGATTGCAATTATGATTGTAGGAAGTCGATAGTTGTCATGTTGTTTGTTCTCTTCCGGTATGTTTAATTGGATCTTTGTGAATGTACAGATTATTAAGACGAATATGTAATGAATGCAACGGATTTGTTAATGATTGATTAAAGAAATTGTAAGTCACGAAAGTCAGTGAATGTGTGTTGAGTTAGTGGACAATGTGTACTGTACGATGGTTGGTGTAATCACATCATTTTAATTTTCATATTATGATAGAAGCTTGTCTATGCATTCGGATTCCGAGAATGCATTACAAATTGCAATTGAATACGTTTAATAATCATGACATTCCGTTTTGGACCAAGCGAATGTATTTGTTTAAGTGGCCAATTTGCAATCACTAACATTTTTTTGCTTATTGATGTCTAACTATGTGGTCATTGACGAGTTATGTTTGCTCTACTGTAAATGTTGCTTGCAAATAACGAACAATATGAAACGTACCGCAGTTTGTTAAAATTTAGATGAACATATAATATGGCAGCCAAACGGATGTTTTAATATTATCTTAATAAGATAGGACTAATGATCCCACATTTTTTATAAGTCTTTATCCTGTTGATCATCTTAACCAGTTTTCTTATGTTAACTGACTTTCAGTTCATTAGGTTAACACCACAAATAATTATATTCTTGAAAGTAGACCTTACTTTAGTTTTAATGAAATCATTAAGTTAAACTGGGTTATAAAAACCAATATACTTATTTGCATATAAATTCACGCTATGAGATATCTTTGTAAGATAACTATAAACCACAAGAACTTATTCATGCAAGCTCAGTATGATAATGGCCATAATCATTTACTTCCACAAAGAATCAATAATGTACATTGGTCTCAGAATGACAGTGAAAAAATCGTATTGTTATTATAGTGATTTACACAAATCTATTTTAATAAAACCATTACAATATGTCCTACTTTAAATGAGCCAAACCGAAAAGAAAAAGAAAAATGAAAATATACAAAATTTTGGAAATTTAATTTGTTTATTGTCAGTCGACTCTAAATATAGGCACACTTTATTCTTAACTCACTTACTTAGAGGACCAGTAATTGATATTTTAATTAAGCTCTTATATCTGTAACTAAGTTGTCAAATAGTGTCTTTTCTTGTGAAAAAGCAGCATGAACTGCTCGAAAATAATAAAATGCACATCATTATTTGGTGTTACACAGTAACCAATGAACTGTGTATATCAGTTCATTTGGTTTCATGGTTTTACATTGATAAGTGGTGATTTCTAGCTGTATATGTATTGTGGGTTTTGTTGTACCAACTGAATTCCTTAAGCTGAGTGAACTTTTGAAAAATCAAAAAATCCATGTTCTTTGGAAAATAAAATCATGTCTGTTTACCGCTGTGTAGTACTGTATTCCTCATTATATTAGTAAATTACTGCTTATTATATTCAAACATTAAACAGAATCGAGTTCCATCTTGTTTCACAATGTCTAACTGTGGAATTCAAAAACCATATATCATCTAATGAGGTAATTCATTACAGTGTTTTGAGATTTTAACCGAACGTCAACAGATGATTTTCAAAATTTCGGCGACTGGGACAGAGGAGATTATCATTTGGGAATAACTCACATTTTACGGTTTATTAAACTGAGTAATTCAACAGTAGTTGAACTAATTGTTACAACACAGCATTCACAAATTACAAATAATTAGGCTGTTGAAACGACGACAATGTGATTTCATTAGATTCCCTATGAATGCTGGCATTATGAATAATAAGAGTGTATTAATGCTGTTACACTGTTTAGGATCAGGGATTGGGATTGTTAGTGCTTTGAACACCAGCTAATGGTGTATTGGTAAGCGAATGAGCAAATGCAGCTTTTGTGCTCACACTATCTTCACAGTCTTCTGTAGATAGAAAAGTAAGTTAATTACTCTAGAAATATTTGCCTTTGGACACATCCATGCATTCCCAAGTGTAAATAATTTTAACATATCCACCAAACTTCAAATGGGTAGAAAAAAGTGAAATACAAACATATTAAGGTACAATTCATTAATTCGTTATTTAAATCTTTCCTCTGTTCATCGTACTTGAATGATTCTCTGACGCCCATCAGTTGAGTGAATAAATCCCCTTAACTATACTGTCAACGCATTTATCGCACTTATTCTGTTGCCGAAAAAATGACAAATTACTCTTCTCTTTTAATTAAATCATTCAATCTAACGAAAACGTTTTATGAAATCTAACTGTTAAAGTCACTAAGAAAGGAATATCATTGGTACAAGCAGGTCGGAAGAAGCTCTTTGCAACACAATATTTTCAATTTACCGTACATCATGAAGTAACAATTTGACCAAAGCTTATGTAAGTTTTGATAACATAACCTTTCCTATCAACTTCTCAGCCTTTAATAATGCTTAGCGTTATTAATTATGAATGTTAGACGACTGTTTGTTGTTTTTAAAAAATAGTGTATTCAAGTCTTAAACACTCTAATTTATTCCTAAAAAGTGTATGGTTTAACTCCTGTTCTGTATTTACGAAACATAATTTGTCTTTAGTCTACTTTCTACCCCGCCAGTAGCTCCATCCAGTCAAAGAGTTACTTAAAATTGTGTAGTTATTATTTGTTTGATTATTTCTCTAATCATGTTGTATTGTTCACTTGTCTTTGTGTATTGTACCATTACTGCATATATAATTATTCCACTTTCTGTTTGTATTTTTTGTTCTCTCTATTTCAAAGTGCTGAAATGCGCTAACAATATTGATAACTATTGTCTTGGCGGTAGAGCGACTACACAACCGTGTCTGGAAGAATGCTTGGGTGGATGCGAAACTCGTCCTGGCAATTGTAGAGTGAGTTATATAGTTTTCTTTCGTTTTAACAAATAAAACAAAAGTTTTACATGTATTCTTACATAATATGTTTATTTATTTGATATTATATTATATTTACTGCTGTGATGAACGAGACGGAACGTAAATGATGGAATCTAATGTGATAAGGTGCTATTAGGGCACGGTCTTAAATCGTAATTTACTAGAACACTATCAGAATATGTTAACGTGACGACAGAAGCCCAAGAGTGGGCTGAAGGAAATGCTCCAATAATTTTGATGGTACCGTTAAGGTAAATGATTTAATATGCTGGCGAACAGTTTAAATTGTTTTATGTGTGAAACTGCTCAATAAGACTCTGAAATAAGGTTTCAACCTTGTTACCTTTAATCGATTGATAGTTCTGCAGATTTATGACTAGTTATATAAGTTTACTGATTTTTAGGTGCGTCATGCGTATCTGTCTTCGCTCCTCATGTGAACTTACTGAAATCATAATGTCAAAGTGTTCTCTTTTAAGGTGATATTCTACCTCAATATTTCCTTGCACTTTACCGTTTAGAATCTATTGAATAATGATGAAATCCCTGAGTAATGTAGAGTCAAAATGGGCTGGATGATTAATACAATATCTCAAAAGATTGTTTTCTGATATTCTGATGTGTGAAGACATGAATACGATATTCCGCTGATATGAGGAATGCTGACAGTACCAGTTATATGAGAACATTTGGGGATAAACGTACATTTTTCTCTCCCTTCGTCTTTTATCTAAAAAGATATAAACGATGGAAAGTCTTCAAAAGTAATTTTATGAAGAATTGAGATTTAAATTTTACATTTTGACTCATTTGTCGACTCAATTGTACACAGGTCACCGTGATATACTAGTCTTCATCCATCCGCGTTTCAAATCTTAGTTTAATGGTTAATTGGATGGAGATATGAATAAACAGGATGGTAAAACAAAAGTTTTTATTTTTCATCCCATCTGTGGAAACACATGTTAAACTCTAAACGTTTTAAAATATTCAGAAAATGAGCTGGTACTCTGAAATACGATTTATCAAACTAGTGGTTTATATATTTCGTTTTTAACAAACCTATATTGTTGTGTAACAGTAACGGGTCATTTTTTGAATAGATAAATTATCTTTTAGCAATATGATCATAAGTATTTCAGGCATATCAAAGTGATTCGGGTCACGCGCCTTGTGATGAAAGCATTTAATGAAACGAGGTATAGTTCGTTCTCGCTCATTGATTATGAAATTCGTACTTCACAACTTTGAGAAATTTCTCCCGCTAAAATAAAATGGTTATTCTCTCTCTCTCCCTAAATATAATTAATCTTGTGATATTATCAAGGTTAAATGATCAGTCAATTTCTCGCCATTTTCTTGATGAAACCATAAAGTATTCATAAATAAATAATTATCTTATCCTATATATTGTAAATATTGTGTTCATTGTGGAGGATATAACGAGAAAAATCGAGCTTTCACTAAACAAAAAAGTAGAAATTATGATTAAGTTTGATTTTCACCTAATTTATCTTAATATTTGTTTTGCTAATTTTCGGTTATCTTAGGCATGCAAACATGCGATGAATGATGGCAAATGTGTATCACAATGTCCTCCACCATTGATAGTTAGTCGAGAAGAGAGTAGAACTATTGCGAATCCAGAATTCAAATATAACTTTCATGACATTTGTGTTAAAAAATGTCCAGGTACGTTAAATCTATCAATTTTGTGATGGTATTAAATGATTAGTTATCAACAACCAAGTAAACATTATTGTTGTTACTCACATTTATCGATCGTGTCTACCAGTTATTTTACCACGCTAAAAATGTAATCGAAAATAAGTTAAGATATGTGGAATGTTGTCTAACCAAATGTCCTCTTACCTCCTATATTTCGTGTATGAACTACTTTTGATTAAAAATCATTGCTTACCTAGTATTTTATTACCGTCTTAAAGATGTATCAGGTTTTTTGTGATTGTAATAACAGGATTTCACATGATGAAATATTGAACACTGTCAGCTTACATTCATGTCATGCGGAATATAATAATTTACTTTTGATTAATACTATGGTCGCTTTTTAAATCTTCAGTCAAGTAGTCTTTTTAGAGTTTTATTACATCTGTTTGATCATCTACATTGTTGTCGATAAATACACTGATTAACTATTCTTAGCTCAAATAGTAATATTATGCTCAGTATTTACAGTCACTCTTTTATGTACAGGTATAAATCAGTTGTCTTTCTGAATATGTTCTTCTTGTACACGAAGTATTCAACTTTTGATAAATATTATTTGTTTAACTGCAGGTAGTTGGATTAAGTACAAAAAATAGACAATATTAGGGCATTTAAAACTATCAGTGTGATAGTTGCTTTTATATTGGGCACACCAGCATACGAAGTTGGAGGTATATTCGATAATTTACTTGATACTTAGCCAGGATTTATGACTGAACTACTACACACTAGCACATATTAAATATGTTTACAGACGTTTACGGAATCTCGGATTTTCGTCAAACAAGAACAAGCAATGTGGGATGAAGTGAATGCTACAAACTTCATAACATTGTAAGACATCTTGCTTATTTATACAAATCAATGCGTAAGTGGAAGGTTTAAAGCGCGCAAATAAAGATGAATTTAGTTCATCTCACAATACCTGCTGTACAAGACTTTATCAACGGAACTAATTTCAACAAGCACAGTTTATTGAATAAATATTATTTTCTTGACTGTAGAGCATCTTGACAATGGATAGGTTTTAAAGTAACGAGGAAAAACGTAGCAGTTACAATTTTTACAAATTACTTTACTTTTTACATATTCCTGTTATCTCTCGGAGAGCATGTGTCGCCGACTAGGATTCCTCAACTATGCCTTGAGCTCTCCATTTCAACTGTTTCCAAGTTTTATTCACCCTTTTGATGTCCCTCTAATTCTCAGCACAATGTGTTCTTCAGTCTGCTTCTTTTCCTTTTGTCTTGGAGACCCCAATCTAGGGCTTACCTCGTGATGCAGTTTGATGATTTTCGAAATGTGCCAAATATACCACAAATGTCTTTTCTTAATTTCCCCATCAGCTTAAAGCTGATAATTTTTACAGCTGAGACGCAGTAGATCAAAGTAATGTAATGAGTGACAAAGAGATCGGTATATTCTCAGTATGGAAGGATTCCATGTGCTTTTCGTATTTAGATCTTGGACTGTGTGTATAAAACAGCAAACTTTATTGATTTTTAATCAATAATTGTTTTTCTTATCACCAGTCTAATTAGTCCTTTACAGTTGAAACAAATGGAATTGGGAAATCAGTGTTGACAACATACTTAAATGTATATTCAAAATACCACTATTCATCACAAGAAACTATTTTCCCTGGTGATAACAACTAGAAAATATATAAAAGCTTAACAAAAATCTGCTTCTCTAAATTCTCAATCTAACTACGTGGTATATAAGTTGGGCGCTCAATGTGGCGCCTGAAGGTCTGGAGTTTGGTTCTATCAACCTAGTTGGTGAAGATTTGATGTTTACATGTATTTTGTTTGTAAGATTAACAGTGAAAAGGAATAATGTTGAAAGTAACTTTGAAAATTAAAGAAACAATTAAAGTAGTTTTGCCTTTCAAAAGATTATATTCTATGCTAAACGTTTACGCCCCATGAGAAACTTCGGTGCACAAAAATGTGATTCCCGCCTACAGTATTGATATATTATCACAGTATGAGGAGATGCATGGGCGATAAAAGGTGAATGTCCACCACACTGAATGAAAATCTTACACTTGAAAATTCGAGAATTACATATTTATTCAATGATCTACCGATACTTCACTCAAGTTTCCAAGTTGTGTAGCGTATAAAAAGTATAGACTATGGTAATACGTAATCATTTGCCTTGGAAGAATAATACGATCAAGTTTAAACTTGGTGAATGAGACAAAATGTTATTTTATGAAATAAATAACTTCTCATATTCGAGGAAGATATAAATACCCGATTGTAGAAACAAGTAAAATCTATTGTCCAACGAAGTAATTATTATTGAGACGCTGATCGATGTTATTATTGTTATTATTATCATTATTGTAGTTACGATAATCGGTTTCATGTAATGGTTTTGCGTTAATACTTAACAACAATATTAACGTGAATAGTGGTGGTGATTGTGATGGTGGTGGCTCTTGTGTGATTGCAATTATGATTGTAGGAAGTCGATAGTTGTCATGTTGTTTGTTCTCTTCCGGTATGTTTAATTGGATCTTTGTGAATGTACAGATTATTAAGACGAATATGTAATGAATGCAACGGATTTGTTAATGATTGATTAAAGAAATTGTAAGTCACGAAAGTCAGTGAATGTGTGTTGAGTTAGTGGACAATGTGTACTGTACGATGGTTGGTGTAATCACATCATTTTAATTTTCATATTATGATAGAAGCTTGTCTATGCATTCGAATTCCGAGAATACATTTTTCTTCGTGCTTACTGTGTTGTAAATATAAGTTCACTTTTGTCACGTTTAAAGGAGAAACTACCATATGAACTGTTTTACTGATCTTTATTTCTGCACAATAATGCTACATATCGAGAGATCATAAAATAAAATATCCATCATATACTTAGGTAAAAATAAAAATACGTTTACAATTATACTTCGAACCTACAGTAGTTATTATTATCTTAATTCACACTCAGTTTTGAATCTGTGCAGTTTTACATCTGAAGTCATTCGAGAATATTGTGAACCAGTGGCTTAAAACTAAACATCATATTAAGGTGTTACATAGACAAACAAGTGTTTGCATTTTTAATTCTAATAAGTGTGTACTGTTAATAACATAGAATCGAATTAGTACCATGTGAAACTGTAGATCAGTAATTGAAACACTCATCTTTCAACCACTACATTAGAAATTTGAAAGCCGGTCCACAGATCTCAATGATGGAATTATCTGTAACTGTTTGTTATGGGTATGTCTGGAGTGGGACATATCCACATGCTGTTTGGCAAAAGGTAATATTTCAAAGATTAGGGCTTGAAACGAAATGTCTGCATCTACCAACATGGCTCAGGTTAGAAGTTAGTGACTTCAAGCACTGATGCCACGTTTTGGTTTGGCCGCCCCTAACTTTCTTCCAACCATACCCAACACCGGATAGCATTGCACGTCGTGGTAATCGGTGTTCAGGCATACGTAACACGTGGCCCAACCATCTCAGTCGATAAAGATTCACAACCTCATCGACTGATTTACCATCCTTTCCTAATACCCTGCGTCTAACCTCACTATTACTTACCCGGTGATCCCAGCAGACGCCAGCATAATTTCTAAGACATCTGTGGCCAAATACTAGTAGCTTTTGTGTGTCTTCTACTCTTAATGGCCATGTTTCGCTGCCGTAAAGTAAGACTGAACGGACTGCCGCGCAGTATACTCGTCCTTTTATTGATAGACGGATATCTCGCCTTCGCCACAGGTGACGTAAGTTGGCAAAAGCCATACGAGCTTTTCGAATCCGTGCTGAGATTTCGTCCGATACCAACCCATTAGGGCTGATCAGACTTCCAAGATAAGTGAAGTTGTCAACGCGTTTGACTACTTCACTCCCTATACTTAGTTCAGGTATTGACGCAGGCCAGTCCTGAAGCAACAACTTGCATTTAGAGAGAGAGAAGCGCATTCCAAACATGCTGACATTGTTGCTCAGTGCTACCAAAAGACTCTGCATTTTATCAGCGTCTTCACCAAACAGGACTATATCATCTAAGTCGATAAGTGGAGCTCCTGGAAGGAGATCAATACCCAAGAATTCAGTAGACGAATGTTATTTCCATCAATAGGTCTATAATGAAGTTAAACAGAAATGGAGAAAGTGGACAGTCTTGATGGATACTACTTGAGATTGCAAAAGCAGATGACAGTTCGCCATAAGCTCTCACTCGACTGGTAGTGTTCGAGTAAAGAGCCTTTACAAGGTTTATATACTTCTGGGGTACGCCTTTCAATGACAGACATTGCCACAGAATCTCGTGGTCTACAGAATCAAATGCTGCTTTTAAGTCAAGAAAGATCACCATTGTCGGACCCCGATAAGTATGTCTATGTTCTAGAACCTGACGAATGGTGAATATGTGGTCGATGCAGCCACGACCAGGTCTGAAGCCAGCTTGATTCTCCAGTGTTTGCAGTTCACGAGTCTTAGTTAGGCTTCCTATAATTATCGAGGCTAATATTTTAGATACTATATTAGTTAGACTAATCCCTCTGTGGTTATCACAGGATGATTTTGATCCTCTCTTATGTATTGGGACGATAAGTGATTGTGACCAGTCAGATGGAATAACGTCTAACTCCCAGATCTTAGCCAAAATATTAGTCAACCTAATCGGTAAAATTGGACCACCATCCTTAAAGACCTCTGGAGCCAATCCATCTGGACCAGCTGCCCTACCTCGTTTCAGATTAACTATAGCTTTTTGAACTTCAGCAAGAGTTGGGGGACCTACTTCAATGTTCCATTCACACTGTCTGGGAATGGACGGTAGTTGTAGAGTCGCTGAAGGCCAGCTGAACTGTTCCCTAAAGTGTTCCGCCCATCGTTCTAAACGCCTGGACTGAGAGCAGATGAAGGTGTCGTCTTTTTCCGAAGTAGTCTGACTTACACTTGACTTATTAATTCCAATTTTTTTA